ATCTCCTCATTCTTTGGCCGGTGAGCAGTTTGCCCGTGCGCCCATACTCTGCAGGCAGCTACTGGGTGACGGCATCGGGGCCACTCTCCTCCCCTCCTCCCCATGAACACTTTCACTGAACTGAGAAAATTTCCTTTTATTCTTCCCTTCCTTGGATGCGCTGACACGTGTCTATATCTGAGCCTCCATCCCCTCTTGCTCATAGAATTCCAGTCCAGACCAGGGGAGTGGATTCTTCATGACGGGGAGGAAATGGATGAAAAGTGAGATTAAAGACACATAAAACAAAGGGGTTTAGAGCCTACACGACACCACGCAGTTGACACAAATACCAGGCCTCTATTGGAGGAATAGAAAGAGAAATGGGCCAAGAGTCTTTTCAGGCCTGGTGAAAGGGAAAAGAAAGTAAAACCAAACAGTCCTGGGGAAGAGGACTGTTGCTTCTCACATGTTTAGAAAGCTCTGGGGCTTCTTCTAAAAGCCCCTACCAGGACTTCCAGCTGTTGGTCCCCTGCCTCCTCCTGTTTCCTGGAAACACAGCAACAGCAGACCAAGGTGTCAAGTTCATGTCCGAGGCCTGGAAGTCCTGCCTTCTGCACTTTGCTTTGTGTTTTCAAGTGCAGGCAAGACCTGCTGTCGAAGTGTTTGTGAACAGCCAGTTCAAGAGTATTTAAGTTTGTTTTCTTGAGTGCTGATGTCCCGTTACCTCCAGCACCACCAGGAATAGGACAGGGGCTTGAAGAGGGCCATTTGAGGGCCAGAAGCTGTCAGAGAACTAACTGAAGTGTGTCTTGATTCACTTTCAGAGACCCACTCACTGCACTCCAGTTCTTGAATTGCCATACACATTAGGAGTAATTCTGTATCTTAAATCTAAACACGTTTGTGTTGGCAAGACATCACCTGAAATACAGGTGGGGCCCTATAGCAGGTCGCTCACCCTGGCTCTGCGCCATTGCAGTTGTTCCCTTTAACCTTGATTCTGCTCCTGGCTCCCAGTTTGACTCCCAGTTCTGTAGTCTTCCCTGTTGTTTTAGTCACTAAGTCAAGTCTGACTCTCTGTGACACCATGGACTGTAGCCCACCAGGCTTCTCCGTTCTTGGGATTCTCCAGGCAAGAATACTGGAGTGGGTTGCCGTTTCCTTCTCCAGGGGATCTTTCCAACCCAGGGATCAAATCTGCATCTCCTGCACTGGCAGGCAGATTCCTTACCGCCGAGCTGACAGGGAAGCTGAGTCTTACCTACTCTCACTGATATGCCAATATTGTTCTCTAAGCTACTTCTTAATGCACCTAAGCCTTCCCCTAAAGCATCAGTGCAGAGAAAGGTAGCTGAGTGAAAACTGGTGAGAAGTCTACATTTTCCCCTTTTTAGTGGTGGTAAGAAATTTATTTCTAGTTAAACAAGCTGGGAAACATAATTAAGCACATGGTTGATGGGGATAGCCAAGGATGCATGCCAGAAAAACAATAGGTTCTTTAAAGGTGCCAAGGACTAATATGCATCTCCTGTTGGAAACTGTATACACTTCACAATTCAGAGCCTCTTGTGTGCTGCCTCGTACCTTCAATCAAATTATTATATTCCAGAAATATGCATAAGGGAAATGATTCTACACATTTTATGGTGGGTTGCTGCTTGTAGCAGTAATTGAAGTACCTTGCCACTTATGAAAGTACTAATTTTATTTGTTTTTATTGCTTTTCTAGATGCAATTATTTATTTAGTGTGCTTTGGCTTTATTAAATTATGTTTACTATAGGAACATCATAAAAATGTATGAAAACAACACATCAGCCAAGCCAGCCTGGTGACCTGTATTGAGAAAGCTAGTGTTATTTTTCATATCCAAACATAATGGAATAACTTAAGAATAAATAGATAATCTATGCTAGAAAACAATGCAGTTTCAGAGTAATGTAATAAAACACCTGGACAATACGATTTCATAAATCTTGGTTCTAAAATTTACATGAGTTGGGTTTTGTGTGCTTATTTGAGGACACATGACATTTCTAAATGGAATCATTATAACGTGAAATGTAATTAAGCCAAAAGGCAAGAGGTAAATGGTATTTTTGCTGGCTGGTGAGATGTGGATGACTAAGAAGAACTGTAAAGATTTTTGGTATAATAAGACAAGCAGGAGGCTCTGACCCATGTACCTGTTCTTAACACTGAAGTTTGAAGAGAGCCGGGTGACTATGAAGGTGGCTTGGTGGTGTCCCTCACCAGCAGGTACTGGCTGGAGGTCATTCTTTACATTCCCCTCCCTGCACCTTAGTATGATGCTTCCTCTCAAAAGAAAAGAGGATTTTTGCTTTTGGCACCCGTTTTAAGGAACTTAATGTGAATGTATACGATTTATTTGTCCTGAATTTTGGAGAGTTAATCAAGGTATAGCACTAAAAATAAAAAAAAATCTACGACAACACAACCAAAACCAAAAACCAAAACCAGAGCTGCTTAAATAAAAGTGAGGTGTCTTTTACAACTATAAATCAGTGACTAACTTATTTTTCTAATTGTGAATTAAAATTAATTAATCTGCTGTTTAAATAATGTACCATCTACAAGATTCGACAAATATGTACCATAAAGGGTGAGTCTCTCTCCAACCACATAGTTTACTTCCCCAGAGGGAACCTTGAAGACCAAGTTCTTGATTTCCAGGTGAGTTCTAAGGGTTTTCTGAGTACATAAAATATATGCATGTGTATTTATTCCCATACACACATAGTTACACAAATGATAGTAAAACATGCAGTACCCATATGGCTTCATCATTCTTTTTAAAGACTGTGCCAAATATTTCATTAAGAATGCATCGGACTCCTATTGATGTCCACTGAAGTGTTTCCAGTTTTTTGATTGTACCAATAACATTTCTACCAACAGTATACAAGAGGACTTTTTTCTTGCTGTTTCTTTTCGAAAACTTGTAGTTTGTCAGCCTGAAAGACAAGAACTGATGTCTAAGTGATTTTAAATCTTTCTTGTCTTATTTTGAGAGAGGTGAAGTCTCATTTAATACGTGAGAGCTTGTGTATTTCCCTTCTTGTGAAGTCTTTGATCCTGTCTCTTGTTCTTTGCTTAATTTTCTAATGGACTGTTGGCCATTATTATTAGTCAATTGTAAGACCCTTTGATCTGAGTTGTGAATATTTTGCTCATTTTTTTCAACTGTCCTTTGACTTTATTTAGAGGATATTCAGCAATATATTGCATGAAAATCTACATGTCATTTTTCTATTGCTCCTGGGTTTTGTAAGACTTTAAAACACATATTTTAAATTGGTGAGATTTTAAAAAATAATTTTTAAATAATTTAAATAATTGTTTAAATAATTGCTGAGATTATTTTTAAAAAATTTTCCCACACAGTCTTCTAGCACTTTTGAGTTTATTTTCCATGTTAAAATTTAAAATTAATGTGGCATTTATCTAATATAAAGAATGATGTGAACAATATGACTTTTTTCAATTGGCTACCCAAGTATCCCAACACCATTTATTGAAAAATAATATTTGGGTTAATTTATGCATGTTTTCATCAATCCCATTGATGTCTATTCATTTGTTGGTATCACAGAGCTTTAATTATAGTAGCTTTATATTTTTAATGTCACTGGAGTTGGATCACAAATTATTCTTTATTTTAATAATTTTCCTTAATTATGGTAAGAAAAAAATCTATGACTGTATTAAATTATCAAGAATTATTTTTAACAAAAATTTTAAATGCCTTTCCAGTATCTATAGAGATAACCATATGGTTTTTCTCTGTATTACTGTTGTGAATTATATTAATAGATTTCTCTAGTACTGAACCATTTATTCCATTCATTTATTTATTCCATTTATTCTATTCCTAGAATAATATCAATTTGAGCATGATTATCTTCCAGTGTGCTTTTTTGTGCTGAGTAAATCTGATTTATGCTAACTTACACACTAACAAATGAAATTGTTCTAAAGTATGTGAAGTTTTTCCTTTTTTGTAATGCTCCGAATCAGTTTAATTATATTGGGATTATCTGTTCCTCAAAGGAATTTCTTTTGGAAATTCTCTTATCAAACTGCCTGTGCCAGGTGCTTTTGACAATATTTTCTGTCTTCTTCCTTTCTTCTTCTGTTCCTTTCTTTTCTTTCTTTTCTTTGATGGAATTAGTACAGTCACATGCTACTGTTTATATTTTTCTAGAATATTACTCACTTTATCTTGTATTTCAAGGTTTTTGCATTTCCCATTCCATTCATTTATGCTTTTTCCCTTCCTATCTTGATTAAGTTTTTGTTTGTTTCATTGGTGTTTTTTAAGCATAAACTTTTGGATATTTTTATTTATTCTCTGATTTTTCTATCGTCTGACTTTTACGTCCAGTGTTAATTTTTTTTTTGGTTCTTCCTTCTGCTTTTGTTTATTTTGTTTTTTCCTAACTTCTTAAATTGGATGTTTGAACCATTTCATCCATATTGTTTAATATAAATATTTAACGTTATGACTTTTCTCTGAGTACTACATTCTTAGGTTCCGGCGTGTACTATTTTCTTTGCCATTATTTTCATCATATGCTGAAATTTTAGTTTTATATAGATTGAGTCACTTAAAATTTCTAGGTGATAGCATTCTAGTTTTGTTGTTAATTTCTAGGACTTTTTGTTTCTGTCTCTGTTTTATTCTTTCCAGCAGAGACTGTTAGTTACATTATTTTTACTTTGGAATTAAAGTTTACTTTGTGGCCTCATGTTTAATCCTTTTTGATAAGTGTTCTATGACAACTTAAGTCATATGGTGTTTCACTGCAGGACATAGTGTTCTATATAAGATGACAGGATGTAGCTTTAAGTTATTTAAGTTTTACATATGCCTTAAAATTTTTTTTCACTTATTTCCCTTTGAATCCCCAAAGCGCTATGAAAATACAAGCCTGATGAATGGATGTGTGATGCTGAACTCCCTGTGGTCGGCTCCAATTGTGTTGTTTTGTCTTATAGCCAAAGATTGCCGAGGAGAACTTGACCTACGCTGAGCTGGAGCTGATCAAGCCCCACCAGGCAGCCAAGGGCATCCCCACCAGCACGGTCTATGCGCAGATCCTCTTCGAGGAGAACAAGCTGTAACCCTGCGTCCTATTTAATATCTGCCACTCCAGTTATTTATGAAACTTTGGATACAAAGTCCTTATTTTTGTATTTTCACTCTTGCCTTCTGTGTGGTGGGAGCCCCTTTCCAACGGCATTTCAGATGCCTTCAGAGAGGTATGACGCTCCTTTCTGCGAAGAGCAGGGGCCGCAGCCCTTTGGATAAATCTCCCAGGACAAGATTTTCTGGGTCTGAGCCCTGAAGGGTGAGGACTCTGATTCTGAGACCATTCAAGAGGATTTTCTGCTGAGCCAAACCCCTGTATGTTTTTTTTTTCTCTTCTTTATCTTTTTTTAAAATCTGAATTGTAATCTTCTACCCTTCCTGTATCTGTGATATCAAGCTCATAGTATATAGCTAGAGGAAATACCATTATGGGCCCAAGTGTGAGATGGTAGAGATGTACTAATTGGTTTTCAAAGGATCAGATAACATTGCCAGGGCACCCAGAGCAGCATAAAGTGCTTATTGTAAGCAGTCATTCAAGATAGCATCTCTTGTTTTAAATAGATGCACTGACCCTGGTGACTCAAGGGCAGAGAGACAGATTGTGGGGCGGTCTGAGGTCTAAGCCAACAATGAACTGTCTGGATACCCCTGTGCCCATTTCCCCACCCATTATTGTTCACAGCCACAGGACAAGTAGAACATTGTTCATTCTGAAGTGCTTCCACCTCTTTGGCAGGGGGGCTTATCCCTGCATAGAGACTATTCTCCAAGAAGTTCTTACTTACCCTTTTCCAAAAGGAGCAGGGTGGTGTGCTTGTGATTGACAGAATAGAGGAAGGGGGCCTCTTGGAAGTGTGCCAAGGTTACTAACTCTAATTGAACATCCATTTGTGTAAGAGCAAAGTCTTTTGACTGCTTCCCCAATGGTAGGAGAGTAGGAAGTATAAGCCAAGCTGGAAAAACATGTCCTGGATACCCCCCCCCACACACCCTCCCCCCGCACCAGCCCATTACAAAGTGCCTTGCTGACTCAACTTTGCATGTTAATTCCAATGGACTTGAGTGGGAGGGAGGCAGGGATGCCTGGCAAATAGATCTATGAAAAAGTTGCTCTGTGGACCTATATGACATCCATGACCTCACCATTCTGGAACAGGCCAAGCTATCAGCTGTGTTGTTAAGGACACTTGATGTGTGAGTGTGCTATGGGTGGGTTTTTACTGCACACTACAGAAATTGTTTGGCTTTGTAATGGACCATGTATATATGTTAAATTATATATTTTAAACACAATCTGAATGTGAGTTGTGCCCCTCTGTACAGCCATGTGAACTTGGTTGAGGTTCTTATCCTCTACTGGTCTCAGACTCTCTATTTATACAAAGCTGAGTTAACCTCTCATAGAATTCTTATAATGGGATAATGACTTGGAAGATTCCGGATGCTAGAAATTGCTACACAAGTACACTATGTTAACATGCATGCTAAAACTAGTCCATATTTTTAAAATGAAATGCCTTTACTATTTAAAGCTCTCATTGTGTTAACTTTAAAAAGTAAATATTTGTCCATGAACTTAGCTCTATGGTAACTTTTCCAAAGACCTGTGATAGCTTATGAGTGCCTCTCGTGGTTTACTGGAAAGGGTCCAAGTCAGGAGCAGGTAATGATTTTCCAGAAGCGAAAATATCCTGACTTTACAAAAAGGAAGTCATTCTCCGCTGCCTGTGCTTGCGTCTCATGCCCTCCTTCTTGCCAAGTTTCCAAGGTAGTGAGTAAGTGGTGCAATTTCTGAAGAAGAACTCACTAGAACTTTCCAGACAGGAAGACATCTTTTAGAACAGAACATAAGGTTAGTACGTCTTTCATATCATCATTATCCTAGGCATCCTATCATGTTTTATCATGGCACTTCGGTAGGACATAGTTACATGGTGTTGTGGGAAAGGAAAGTGATTTCCTGATTTGTACAAGGAGCTATTAATATACAGATGGGTGGGGCCCTGGGAGTACCAGGTGGGAGTGGAGAGTGGGGCGTCTGAAGAGGTGATGGAGAGAGGGTGATGGAGAAGGAGGCCTCTGGGCCTCTGCAGAACTGAATCAAACTTCAGTCACCTGCAGACCCACCGTGTTAAATTCAGAGGGGGCTCTGTGTCATCACATATGGAAATGAATACATTCCACTGAGAAGAGCACAGGTTTTGAAGAGTCTCTGTAGGTTAAAATCCAACAAGTCATTGTTATAGATTCAATTCAGACTCTTGCTCCAAAACTCTGGTCATATTTGCATAAATCCACGCAGAGGTGTGTGAGGAAGGGATCCACTGACATGGGGTTTAAGAAGAGGCTTCAGGACCAATACCTCCTACTCAACATGCTTCCTAAGGGAATCATGGAAGCTCTTAGCAACATCTGAGCACAGCTTGCTCCACTATTATCTAGGAGCAAGCTGTCCAAACTTTGCTCAGGACTGGGAGCAATGAATGATTTGTACCTAGTGCTTCTTTGGGATGATAAATCTTGATGTTATTTTCAGAATAAACTTAAAAATAAGTCTCCTACACCACTATGTCTATATTGTCATTTCTAAAGATAAGGAATATATATCATTCAAATGGAAATGAGGAAAAGTTCTTCACTTTGTTTTTGTTGTAAAGCATCTGTGGGAACAACTATAGATAGTTTTCAACATGGACAACGGCTTATACATTTAAATGAAGGACGAAGAACCCATTGCTCAGAATGGAATGCAGTGGCTCTTGCAGGCAGAGTGCACAGACTCTCAGATTTGGTGGGGATTTGGTTTTGGTCATGCATGGTGGAATCATCACAGGAAGCAAGGATGGGGAAGGGGTATCCCCAAATGAGACTGCCTTGCCAAGTCACAGCCCTGGACCCTGAACTAAAGCAGTTGTGATGGGAAGACAGGGCTGGGATTCCTTTTAGATCACATTTTCATTAAATCATCATGTCTCTGTTAACTCACAGGGCAGAGAAGAAAAAGCTAAGCCTAACCCTCCCTCTCATATTCATTGGTGTGAAATGACACTGGGCACTATATATTTTTTAGTACATAGTCATCAACCCACACATGGATGAGCCCAAAGACTCACTCAGGATAAAAACACTAAACCAGTTGATGCCTTTAGGGACTGCTCGTGGCTTAGTTCATCCCTCAGTTTCTGACATGCATGACTACAACCTAGGCTGGGCCAAGAATGGGACTCATGCTCCAGGCCACAAAAAATGGGCCAAAGCATGCATGAGGCCTGGTCTGGGCCGATCAGAATTCTTAGGAGAAAGAAAGCATCTTAGAAAGCAGCTAAACCAGGAGGCCACCTGTCAGAACCACCTACAGTAACATCTGCCAAGGGGCGAAGCCTTGGTGAACAAAAAGATGCTGAGAAAGCAGTGGGGAAGACAGGGTCCTGGGAGCACAGACAGAATCCCAGCCTGCAGCCACTAAGATCCCCCAGGCTCTTCTTCTTCCTTTAGATCTTCTTTTGATTCAATAAACTAACCCCTTCTCCTACTATCTAACTCCTGGTTTTGCTTAAGCTGGTCAGGTTGCAGTCAAGAGAATTCCAACTAAAACAGTATGCATCAAAGCTGCTTCCCAAACCAGGAAGCAAAAGAATTATGCTGAGGGCACCACCCAAGGAGCCCATTTCCCTCACATCCAGCATCCAGAATTTTAACCATGAGCTTGTGCCACAGTCTGCTTCTTACTCAGTAGGCCCCTCACAGGCCACTCACAGGCCCCTCACATGGAGAGGGACCAGCTGGCTTCAGGCCTGACGTGCTTCTAAGGGAGGGACTCGGGTTTAGAGTAGGGACTCTGGCAGTACTGAGCCACTCTGGCGAAAGCCACTCTGGTAGAATTAGCACATGTGAGCACCCTGTCACATGGATGTTGGAGGGAGCCTTTTTGTGCTGGCTGGCTCTGAAGTTTAGGCTGGCTTCCACATGGAATATGCTGTCTTTCCAGTATCCCTGACCCAGCACACCCTGACCCAGTATCCTTGGTCAGGAGGGAGCCTGTTATAAGATAAGGCAGCCACGTCGTGGGGACGTTGATGTTCCCCCTCACCCAGCATAACCCCGCAGCCCACCCCAAACATCAGACAGAAGCTGTTCACTGGGTTGGGAAACAAAGAAGAATTTCATGTTTTAGAGGAAGGATCTGCCTTCAGCCTGGATGTGTGAAGCTCTGGGAAGTGTCCAGATGGATTGGATAGATTGGTGCCTGCATCACCTGGATCATGGTAAACAGTGGCTCGTGTTCAGGAAGCCTGGGAGGGGCCTGGGTGTCTGTGTTCCTAACAAGCTCCCAGGGGATGCCCATGCTTCTGGTTCCTGGGACTGTTGGGAAATGCAGATCTGAAACCCCTGGGGAGATGATGGGAGTGGCCTCAGAATATAAGTCACAGCTGAAGTCCTAACAGTGAGCTAACTCCCCCAAGAGAGGCATTGCAGCCAGGCCTGAGCTTTCTCACCAGAAAGCAGGTGAGATGCCTGAAGGGTTCCAGAGCAGAGCACACTTCCAGAGGAGTTAGAGGGGAGCCGGAGAAAGCTGGGTCTGGGAGTTTCTGGAAGGAGAATGGGCTCAGCAGTATGTACTCTGTAGTGGTCAAGTAGAATAGAGGTTAAACCTCTGCTCATTCTGAATTAATTGCTCATTTCACATTTTTGTTTTCGGGCTTCCTTGGTGGCTCAGGCAATAAAGAATCAGCCTGCGATGTGGGAGACATGGGTTCAATCCCTGGGTTGGGAAGATCTCCTGGAGAAGGAAATGGCAACCCATTCCAGTATTCTTGCCTGGGAAATCCCATGGATAGAGGAGCCTGGCAGGCCCCTGTCCATGGGGTCAAAAAGAGTCAGACATGACTAAGCAACTAACACTACACACTTTACATTTTTTTAAAGTTTATTAAAAGATTTATTTTGCTGGGATAAACAATTCCCTGAATGCACAAGCCTAACAGACTTTGGCACTGAGTGTGTCTGCCCTGCTCAGCTGATTTTCTCC